CGACCCCAGGCCTGCCAACACAGCCAGGTTTTAACGGCTTTTCGGAAAGCCTGGAGAGAGGTGAGGGTCCGAATCTCTGCGGGGAGCTCATTCCAAAGGGCCCTCCCACCCGATCCCTCCCCTCCCAGGAGTCCATCTGCGGCCTGTTTGGAATGCCAGGTAAGTACAGGGCTCACCTGAAGGCTTGAGGAGAGTGAAAAGGGGGCCTCCTGGAAGTTTCAGAAGGGCGGAAACAGGCCCGTTTCCAGCCTCCGGAGGGCCTCTGAAGCCCAGGGGAGGCTGTTTTCACCCTCCGGGAGGCTCAAAAAAGGCCTCTGGAGCCCAGAGAGGGCGAAAATGTCCCCCCACCCCCACCCCATGGTGCAGTAGGCCAACTAAGCCATGCCCACAGCCACCCAGCAACCGGACAGGGAACTCATTGCTAAAAAATTTGAAGCCCACCCCTGGGCACGTTTGTGGGTGTTCAGCAAGTATATAACCCTGACCTAGAGCAGAAATGGGTGTTACTATCGGAATATAATTTTATAGATCTTATTTAGAACAAAAACAAAACAAAAATCTAGAAAAAGTAAGTAGCATCAGTGAAGAAATTCCAGTAAACTTCAGAGATAGTTTCAAAGATAACTACAGTAGCTTCAGAGATATTTTTGGTTTGGGTTTTGAAACCATTCACTGACCTACGAATAAGATTTATTTTATCAAGATGGACATATTTATTCCAACTTTTCTTGCCTGGCTGACGTTATCCTGGCTTTACCATCACCCTGCATGTTAGTTCCACATACTTCTCTTCAGTTGCCATCTATTCCAATCTGCCTTTTTCCTTGCCTTGACACACCCAATTCTATAAGCTTCGATGCATGATTCTCCAGTTTCCCCAAAATCTCACATTTCCTTTCCTTTTCAAAGTGTTGCTGAAAGCTGAAGTTGGCAGTTTTTGCTTTCTTCCAATCCAAATCCATCTAGGTCTGTGATGGCAAACCTTGCGTGCCACAGGTGGCACATAGAGCCCTCTCTGCAGGCACGCCAGCCATCGCCCCAGCCCAGCTCCCGACGGCCAGCTGGTTTTTGAGTCTCTGCTGTGCATGCAGGGGCCTGGGGGGGGGGGGCAGAGCGCATGCATAGGAGCACTCAGATTGCATTTTGGGGGTTCACATGCATACACATGCCCCCCACCCAGTGCCATGTTTAGGGCCTGGAAGGCCGTCTGCACTAACCTGGAAGCCAAAAAGAGGCATGGGGGTGCCACGTGAGGCCTCCCCGTGCCCCGTTTTGGGCCTGGAAAGCCTCCTGTGCCAACCTGAATCAAAAAGGACGAGAGGGGGGCGGGGCGTAAGCGCAGAGGATAAACAGGCATGCGTGTGGGGAGGGGGGCATTTGCATTGCATTTTGGGGTTTTGAGTGCGCACTCTTTGGGCAAGCAGCACCAAAAAGGTTAACCATCATGGGTCCAGTGTTTCGCTGGCTGGGGAATTCTGGGAGTTGAAGTCCGGACATCTTCAAGTTGCCAAGGTTGAGAAACACTGGTCTAGGTTGTCTATATGTTCAATGGAAATTTCATCAACATTCACAATCCATCCCAGTCGTGCAATTGCTGCATCAGTAACAACTATAGTCAAGTCTTGGCCATAAAAGTAACATTTTCCAACACACCAATAAAGGAAGAGGCTGGCCTTCTGTTGTTGGTCCACCACCTCATCAGAAATGGCAGGTTTGATTTCTTGAGTCCTTTCTCCCAGCTCACTCTCCAACACTTTCATCAAATCTGAACTGGCTTCTTCGTCGTCACCCTCTATGACTCCAATATGAGCACGGCCTCCACGTTCTCTATCACGGATATCTTGGGCAAGAAGCATAGCCTAAGAAAGAGAGATGGAACACAGGAAGTCACCTCATATGAAATTGAACTATTGACCAGTCTAGCTCAGTTCAGCTCCTGAGTGGTATTGATTCTCTATGTGTGTATTAGGAAATGTATTTATTACTAGCTGATAACCCAGCGTTGCCCGGGTATTGAAGCTGTTACCATGGCAACTCCACTGTGCAGTACAGTAGAAGCCATTTTAAGGCACAACAGGCTGTATCTTAACAGAACACCACCACCCCGAGGGTTGTTAGGGGTGTTTTACCCCCACAGTATTTGTTTCCAGAGAGTAAGTAATCTATGTGCCAGGTTTGGTTGAAATTGCTGGAGGCATTCCAGAGTTATGATGGAACATACACGCACATACATACATACATACATACATACATACATACATACATACATACATACATACATACATACATATATTAAAGTTATATAGAGCTATCCATCTCACCCAAAATGACTCTACAGTAAAACCAAGAATTAAAACATTTTGCAAACCGATTAAAAGTATAAATATGGCTTTAAAAGACCATGAGAGGGAATATGTTTACATGCAATATAACCAGCATGCAGGTTTCCTGTTACCAGGAGCTCCCCAGTCTTGCCGAAAACAAACACATTTTGGAAGGCCATAAGAGTTGGGGCTAACCTCATCACAGAAAGATGTAAGAAGATGAATGCAATGGCAGGAAACAGTCACCTCCTAGATCCTGTCAGATGGAATGCGGACAGGACCCACAGCATGTCTCTCTGTGGACCTGATGGGACCAGTGGATGTCCCTCAGGGAAGAGATGGTCCTTCAGGTAACCTCAAATTCTCCCTGTCTTTTCTGAAGTTGCTAGGGATTGAACTCAAGACCTTTTGCATGTTAACCATCCACTCTTCCTCTGAGTTTTGCTTGCCATGGTGTTACCATAAGCAAATATTGCTCGTTTCATAACTTCTTTTAGCTGTGTGTGGCTTTATGTACACCACAGATACATGAGATGAAGCCCTAGAGATCCAGGTAGCCGCAAAAGCCTTAATTATGATCCTCCAAAACAGCATTAAATAGAAGAGAATATTTGTAGCTCAAGATTGAAATTTGGGGGGGGGGGCTTGGTGCTCTCAGAGCTTGGATGTTTTCTTGCAGAGGTTTCATTACCAACTAGGCCCTGATTATGTTACCTAGTTTGGTAATGAAACATCTGCAGGAAAACAACCAAGTTCAGAGAGGACCCCCACACAATACTAAATGCTGCCCTTAAAAATCTACATTTGCATGTGATAAGAGGGAGAAATGGGTAAACACGTGAAAATTAATCTTGATAATGACATTATTTAATTTATATTAAAATGATAGGAAATGATTTCATTAAACATTAAATTTAGTTTTCAGTTTGGGACAGCCCCATTCTCTATCCTAGCAATTTCTGGATTTGGAATAAGATCTTCAGCTCAAACAATGTTCTATATCCACAGAAGCTGATCTATAAAAACAATAGTTCTATAAAACTTATGTTCATAATGATACTGAAGCAAATATAACAGAAGAGAGTTTGCCTTACAATTTTTTCTTTTCCCTAATGAAGAATCTTTGGCAATTCTTTTCTTCCCCGCTCCATAGCTTTAAGAAGGGACATGCCTGACTTAGGGACAACAGAAACAAAAAGAAACCCAAAGGTGATTTTTCAAGAGGTAACTGGGCTTTTTGTTTTTTTCCCTTTGAAGACGTTTCCCTTCTCATCCAAGAAACTTCTTCAGTTCAGCTTCTTCAATGAGAAGCGAAACGTCTTCAAAGAAAAACCAGAAAGTCCAGTTGCCTCTTGAAAAAGCACCTTTGGGACAACCATGACCTGGATGGTTCCACCACAAAACCGTGTTCGACTAAAGGGCGCTCGACGAAACCGCGTAACTGACGTCATCACAGGGCGACAACAGCGCGGAGACAGAAGCACGCTGTAAACGCTAAACCTAAAATTAACCCCTAAACCTAAACCTAACCCCCCCTAAACCTAATCCTAATCCTAAACCTAACCCTAAACCTAACCCTTAACCTAACCCTAAACCTAACCCTAAACCTAACCCTTAACCTAACCCTAAACCTAACCC